GTTGTAGATTAATTTACTATGCTCATGGATCACATATCGAACATCTATTACAATAAATGTATAAAAATAAAAGAATAAGAAACATTCTATTTTGTTTCAAAATAAACTGAACGACCTGTATAGTGAAATGGGACCCAGCACGAGTTGCTGAAGATATGGAAACGTTGACAAGTAATGGCAGTTACGTATTCAACAACGATGAATGTTTAACACAAACAAAAATAAAAAGTTATTTTTCCCGTTTGGCCGTAAAACAACGAACAATGCAGCAAGTACTTGATCAACAAACAACATCAAATTCAATATCATCTTCATCAACATCTCTTAGTACAATTAATACTAATGATATCAAATCAACGAATACAATCAGTATGGCTGAATTAAATGACAGCGAAGAAGCAGATGATCGTGATTTGGAAGTATACTCATGGCGTCAAATGCTTGATGAAGCACGAAATATTCTTGAAAATTCACCAATTTCTTCTGCTACATCAACTTCTTCGACAGTATCTGATTCTGCATCAAGTACACCTTCAACAAAAAGAAAGTCAAAAACTCATACGTCACAAAGCAACAAATACAAAATCAAATAATATTTTACTAATAAACTATTTCATTTCCACTTTCTTTTTTTTTTGTTATACATCATTTATCATTCTAGATCAGTTTTCATTTTAGACTATGTTTCAATCAAGTAAGTTTATTAAAACTGCGATATCGATTTATATACATGTCTTTAACTTCATTGGCAAGCTTCAGAGTGCACCGCTGATACTACATATTAAGTTTGTAACATCAAAAACTGTTCCATAAAAACAGCAAGTTTTAAAACTGAAGTCATTACGCGATGTATCGTTGATGTTGCTATAGCTTAGTCGATACGATTGAATTACAATACAATTTTGTATATTCTATACAAACTGACTCAATTGTCCTTATTATACGATGATGTTTCATCGTATAATAACAGAGTATAATGATTTCTCAAACTCGAGGGATAGCTTTATTAACTTTATTTAGACTGTTGTCATAGTAGTTTGAGTCAATACATAATGATTAAAATATCATATTCTATGCCTGATTGAAATATATAGACAAATTTTGAAAATTTATTTAAAAAAAATGTTTTTCATGAAGGATTATAACTAAATATGATGTCAGTTCTTAATGTTTGAGTCTTAGTGACTCAGTTGTAGAATATCTCAAAACAATGTGAAATATATTATTCAATGCAGAATTGAACGGGCTATAAGATGATGCTATTTCTGTTTTGGCATTCATCTTTTGATACAGATATTTCATCAAAATACTGGGAAAAAAATTTATATTACGTCAAAAAATATAGTATTTTGACTTTTCGACTTCAATATTGAGACTGAGGAGAAATGCCATGTATACCATTTTGTAGAGCAAGTAAAACTCTATCGATTGGTATATGATTTAGTTTGAATAGTGGAAAAATTTTAAGAAAAAAAATTCAAATATGAATCTGATATGACATCTGATTTTGCCAAACAAGACAAAATATGAGCATGGTCATCTCAAGTGCTGAACGTTGTTCAGCAACATCCCATATATGATTCGATGCAGAATTAAATGGGCTACAAAATGATGTATAAATTTTTTTGGCGATCGATTTCTGACCTAGGTATTTGATCAAAATACTGAAAAAAACCATGAAATCGTATATGCAAAAAACCATATTTTTTGACTTTTTGTCTTCAATATCGAGGTTGAGGAGAAATGTTATATATACCATTTTGTAGAGCAAGTCAAGCTCTATCGATTGGTATATGACTCAATTTGAACTGTGGAAAAATTTGAAGGAAAAAATTTAGCGTAACTAGAAGTTGAATTTTTTGCATTTTTCGATAGTGTTTTTTAGGGTGTGTCAGGTTCATCGGTCCTAGCCAACTATAGGTAGATCTTTAGGCCGTAATATTTTGGATTTATATATGGTATACTAAGGCCTAAATTCCTATGAGGTCAGATTCAAAATCGGTTGACCCCCATGTTTTCGGAATTTTGATATTTTCATGGAACGTCTCTTAACTGTAATTGTTTTTTGGTGAGCAACAACAAGCAACGTGAAGTTGTCAATAAAAATAACGGTGGTTTCTTCAAATGGTATGTATTTGATTAAAACAATAAAATTTACATGGCAACATTGCGAATCAAACAAATTACCGACTCAAAAAAACACAATCGAGCTATTTTCGATCAAAAGTATCAATATGCGTAAAAAAAAAAAAGAAATGAAAAAAAACTTTCACTCATTATTTTGCTTGATTTCCCTATGATGCAGAAATACTGAGCCATGAAGAAAAAGGAACAAGACTTACTACATAAAAACAATCTTCTTTTTTTTTTTTTTATTAAACAAGACCTTGTTCGATTTCCCTCCCTTTTTTGAAGGCAGGCTTCTACAAAAGAATGCAAAGCAGCATCTTATAAATAAAAATGTCAATACGAAATCAGAGGCTTAATTAAAACAATCTCATCGTCAAATCAAGACGAAACCGAAGTAAAGCCTCACTGCCGGTGACAAACAACGCTCGCATCATCTAGTGAACCTTTTATATAATCAACATACTAGCAATGAATATTCCTCAACTATCCGTATGGTCATATGATGTGACACCGACAACATATAAAATTGATATCTGTGTCGAAAAGGAATGTTGGAAGGAGGAAGAGGACGAGGACGAAAAAAAGTAAGTGTAAACTATGTTTAAAAATTAGTTCTACACATATAATGTATTCATTAATTTATGTAAGACGAAGGTATAAAAGAAGAGGAGCCTATGTCTGGTGTCCATGCATAAAATGCTGTATTGTCGGAATGTTACTCGGTGGAATTATTTTAGCTGCTCTGCTCACGTTGTGGTTGACATCAACATCAACAGGATCTGCAACAATACCTTCAGGTATGTTTTGATCGAATCTGACTACTATATTTTTTGTCTAATGGCTTCTTCAAGCGTATTGACTTGGATTCGGTTTCTACTAAAATGTTTTCGCTCAAACTAGTGCTATTGAGCTAAAACGATTCTTCTAGTTGAAATATTGAGGTGTTTCAAAAGCATAAATCCTACAAGATAAGCATGAAAATGATTTTCATGCAAACCCACCAAAAGACTCTACTCTACTAGATCTACTCATTAATACCGTTAGTAAGAAAATAATGCTGTAAATGTGAACGTGTCGGTGTGGATATTTCCAAGTTAGAGAACTGCCGAGGTAGGTGTTCTTATTCCGAAAACTAATTTCTATTTTGAAAAATATCCTCTTCGCAGTTCCGACTTCGATAAATTCTAATTTATTTTATCAAAAACACTGATCTCAAATATATCGTACTGTTGGATTTAAAATAGGCAGAAATCAATAATAAAGGTGCTACATTACTACAGTGAAGCTTCTCCAACATGAGCACAGCCAAGACTATTCAACAATAAGTGCTGATAATAACAAAGCTTTCACCATAGAAAAGTATTTACTAGTAGAAATTTTACTATATTATGTTTTACTATAGATACTGGGCAATCGATAATTTTATATACTTTATTACTAGCAATAAAATAGTAACAATATTCCTTGTATAAGTTACTGGTTATAATATCATGTTATTTGATAGAATTTTCGCTTTCTCACATCTGCTAGTTTCACAAACTATTCCTAACTAGCTGAAATAATTAATCATCTTTATATACTATTATCGATTATTAGTGCTGCAGTTCTTCAAAGTACTAGCAATCATTTTTTTGAACAATGTTTGATTACTTTGAGCTACTGAGCTGTGGTTTTCAATGTTCAACATAGCAAGGTAGCACCTTTATTATTGATTTCTGCCTATTTTCAATCCAACAGTACGATATATTTGAGATCAG